TCAGTAGCTAATCACGACGTTGCCAAGGAATATATTTATATGCAGTATAAATACCTTGATTTTTTTTACTATATGTTTTAAATAACCACTATTTACTGAAGCTCTTATTGTACTGAAATTCAATTATTTCAAGGAATGCTTTACTTCTTTATCACAAAGGAGTGCACACAATGAAAATAACGAGTTAAAAATGTTAAAAATATACAACCGGTAAAGAAGCAGCATAATAGAATATTGTCTTAATTTGAAACTGGATTGTTTATTTTTTTTTGCCATCTGGAAACTTTGTAGAGTAGCACTGGTTCCAAGAGTATGCTGTAATGTTTTATGACGAGATACGCATGCCGTATAATCCCTCCCCGACCCATCTTGAAAATAGGCGCCCTTACAAATCAGCTCATCAAGTCTTATATCAAGGGAAGCAAACGTCATCCTCAGTGACAAGTTCTCGGTATATATTTAGTTTTACCTCTCAAAACAATAAAATGTTTCCAGGGGAAACGCCAGAGAAAGTACAAACAGTGCTCGCACACCCGAGATGTGTGGGTTTAGTTTCCAGTTGTCTAAACAGCCTGAGCTCAAACTTTCCTGTTGAGTTCCTTCCCAATACACAATGATTTCCATTCGTTAACCGAGTTCTGTTCCACAAGATCAGACTAACATTTATACGTTTGCTTTTATCGAGCTAGGTATTCTTCAAGTATTGAAGCAGAATTAAGTTAAAGCCTGGTGTGTAAAATAGACCAAAGCCCATGTTAATTGAGTCAAATCAATTTCATTTTGTTCGGAAATTCGCGCGATGAAAATTTTTGTCGCATTTTACTTGAAAACCCAGAATTAGAAGCCGATCAGTAGTTGGTAATTGATTGCGCTTAGCTGTAGTCTTTCAAATGGACGTTAGCCATGATACTGAAGACATAATCATCTAAACGGGAAGCAGCAGGCCCAGGGAACCAGATGAGGTTTCGTTTGTCATGTATATGAAAATTTTAGCTTGCTTCCTCTTTCTTCGCGTCGCACTCGCGAATCCCTGCGGTAATGTCCTTGATATAAAAAATTCACTGTGTACACTTCGGAAAAATACCTAAAAATCATAAGTAAACACTGAAAACCCTTTCGGTCTTGGCAAAGATCCATTTTAAAATTACAACTACACATTTTGCGAAAAACTCGCAACAAGAATCTTTGATAGCCGGGTGCTTATAATGTTCATTGAACGTGAAATCAATTGTAAAGCCACAGCGATCGAGAAAAGCATAAGCTTGATCATGAGATATTCTGAGCAGCAACCAGAAAGCCAACAACCTTACGTGTGAAATAAATACAAAACGCTTCCTGAGGTAAGGTTTGAGGTGTTAATTATTCTGATGCATGAAGAAAACACCTGCCAGCCACGCATTCAACATATGAAAATAATGCGCCAAGATCGCCTACTTTCCAGAATGTTTCTATTCATAATTACAGCGACTGGCGTCAAACATTTTACCTTCGTCTTCCAGAATGAATATTGATTGAGGAAATTGCGGTGCGAAACATTGCTGTCCTACCCCAAGGAAGCCAACAAAAAGTAGGTGGGTGAGACATCTCTGCATCTTAATTCCTTGATCTGTCTTCACGAGGTAAATTTAAGAAATTTGAATAGTAGTTATTAAACGTCAGTAAAATTTGCTTTCATATAATTTTTTGGTATAATTAACAGAAAATTCTACTTCGAAAGAAATGATATTACTACGACTGCATAAAGATATGAAAATAAAAAAAAAAACAGGCAAAAATTAAAAAGTGAAAATTTGCAAGGCATATCCGGTGGCGAAGATTGCATTGTCGTTTTTCGCCATGCCTTTTATTGGCAAACAAATCAAATCTTAAGTCGCAATATCCTTATTAAAGGAGCTTTTTCTGCCAGTGTAAAGATTGTTTTCCTCGTTTAACTGGAACATGAAACATGAAAAAACTGTTTTGAAGGGCTGAGTGAGACTGAAAATACCAGGACATCGATTCCAGTCTCTCTTCGTTTCCTTCCAGCAAAAATATAGCAACGTTTGTTTAAATATTTTTAAGCGTTTAACACTTTTCTTAGCGAGAAACGGTTAACCAAGCGTTAAATTGAAATCTTTCCCGTTAGATCTTATTGAGAGTAATATTCTCCATGGTTGTTAAATATACTCTTGATGCCAGATCCGTCTGTATTGAATTTGCAACCAAGTATACTCTTTTTGCATTTAGTCTTAACTGCGGGCTTCCTCATTTACGTAAACGTTTCATGTTATTGTGAATTGCTTATAAACGCATGTCTTCGTTCAGTAGCCTGGATGATCCTTTCAATTACTATTATTATGTTCGCTCCTCTGGTTTTTGCTAACCTGGATTCTAATAATTTTGCTGATATGCCCGACTTTTAAGACAGTTAAGAACGACAGTAAAATCCTCGGCGAGTGATTACATCTATCATCTTCTTTTGAAAACGAGAAAATCATTAAGAATGAAATGTTGTACTGATGGAAAACCATATTCTAAGAACTAACTTTAGGAGAATTGAACAGAATTCTGTAAGGAGAATCAACACTCCTGATTGATTCGAAACTTGATGGGCTGGAGTTATCGATGATAGCCGAAGACAAGAACTTGCTTACATTTGTTTTAGTTAATACCCTTAAAAGGTGCAGAGCCGGCAACACAAGTGAAGGGCAATTATACGTACTTATTGACTGAGGAAGGTCGGACCAGACAGGAAAATATTTGACTTGAAGTCAGGACGCACGTATCTCGCTGCACTCAGTCCGTACGTCCTGCCTTCGAGCAAAATATTTTCCCGTCCGGCCGAACTAGCTCCCTCAGTCAATAAGCCCTCTATCATATGACTGCTTTTATGAACTTCGCATTTGTGAGGCGCCTTAACTTTCTTTCTGTGCTTTCAGAGTAAGATGGTAGCTGTACTAAGTAGTTCGCTGTCAGAATGTTCACTTTCATCACTCGTTTTGAAGAAGACATTATTTTCCAGAAACAAGGCTGTTCTCTGTCTTTAATTAAGTCGCATCGATTTCGCAGGGTCGTACGCCTTTTTAGTAGGGCCTACGCGTTTTTCCGGTCCTATCACTTCGACACCTGCGGCCCTTATATTTATACGTAAAAGGGGGAAGTAGCGCACGGGTCCGTACAGGTCATGAATAGGAGAAGTCACGAAAAATGCCTAAAAATTCGCTATCCGTCCATCACTTTTCCGATGGTTGTCTTTAATTACATAAAAGTTGTTCTCTGACTCTAGCTATTGTGTGTGGCAAATTAAAATATATAGACTAAACAAATTGAATGTGGCGGAAAGATCAATAATTAATTTACGCTGTTTTTTTTTCCGTTTTCAATCAACGAATTTAAAATAATCTTAACGACCATGTTTCTAGAGTTGTCCACTTTGTTCTCGCACGCGATGATATGAGTGCTTGGTGCAAAGTAAATTAAAAAGATATGCCGAATAAAAAGTTTGTCAAAAGTCAAACGTTTGCCGAAAATTTTCATTTGTAAGGTTTTAAATTAAAGACGCTAAGAACAAAATTTAGTTTAGATCCATAATGATGGCGTTTAACTGGTTGTAGCTGATAAGTGCGGGAAGGACGCATTTTCTCATTTTTATTTTATTTTGAGTCTAGTACCCAGATCTTCAAAATTAGAAATTAGAGACAGAATTAGGTAAAGGCAACTCAGTTCAATTGTTCAACGNCAACGAAGGACCTCGGTAAGGGAGACTTCGCGGAAGGAATAGGTTCAGATGACGCTACGTGGATTTTGACCAGCGCTTTCATCATTTTCACAATGCAGTCCGGTTTCGGACTTCTCGAATCCGGAATGGTCTCCAGGAAAAATGAAGCGAACATCATGGTGAAGAACGCGGTGGATGTGATATACGGTGGACTGTCTTATTGGCTTTTCGGATTCGCATTTAGCTACGGAATCAGCGAACGTAAAAACCCGGTTATCGGTCTTGGAAAGTTCTTGACGGACGCAGACGAACGAGAAATGGGGCAGATCTTTTCAAAGTACTTTTTTCAGCTCTCCTTTTCTACGACAGCGACAACCATTGTCTCTGGTGCTATGGCGGAAAGGACGAGCTTAAAAGCGTACACACTTTACTCATTCTTAAACACTCTGACATACTGTGTTCCAGCTCACTGGATTTGGGATGAACACGGTTGGCTTCGGAAAATGGGCGCTGTCGACATTGCCGGATGCGGTGCTGTGCATTTAGTTGGCGGAGTGAGTGGCTTGGTGGCGACTTTGATGTTAAAGCCCCGAACTGGCAGATTCGATGCAAATTCTCCGGCCAAGCAAATGGCTTCTCCTACAAATGTTCTCTTGGGGACCTTCATGTTATGGTGGGGCTGGCTGGGTTTTAACTGTGGCAGCACGTTTGGAATAAGCGGCATGAAGTGGAAACTTGCCTCCAGGTAAGAATGTTCCATAGTACAAGGTTATAAATAATTCAGGTTTAAACGGCCAAGATATTGAATTATGGGTTTAGTTTGATCTGTGGCCTTGGGATCAGAAGTTGGAGAAAGAGAATTATTTTCTAAAACCAAACCTTTACTGAACTACTGAACTGCGATAGTGTTCACTGGTAGCTCAAACTACATCTGGGAATATGTATTTATTCTTTTTCTTCGCTTTCCTCGGTTTCTCTAGGCTGGATCCCTGGGGCCTTAAAAATGAGGTTAGGATTGATGGTTGCTGACCGCAAACGACAAGCGGAAAATATTGAAGTACCACCAGGAGCCATAATCGGGGACGGAGAGCGTAAGCGCGCGCTATTTCTAGTATTGGGGCTGTCCCTATGATATGGGACAATTTTTCTATTTTTAGAACAAATTGGGCCATCATGTGCGGTACACGCGCGTACATGCTGCATGGATTGTTGCGGATATAGCGCGGGGAAATGGCGTCCAAAATTCCCGAAATGTTTGATGTTTTTGGCCCACAAATCAATATGTTCATGTCTGTTGGAATTTTGCTTCAGTATTTTCGTCGTAAGCTGCTCCAGTTTGAGTGAAGTAAGACAGTGCCGAATTTAGT